TATTTAAAACGGAATGTCCTCTTACGTGCGATACACTAACACGAAAAATAATGTATGTCGCTGCGTTCTGCCGTATGATTGGTTGAAATTAACCAATCATACGGCAGAACATACATTATTTTAACGCAGCACATACATTATTTTAAGTGTTGCGCTGCATTTGTACGAAAAGGAGTAATACGATATAAAAGAAGTAAGGAGTAATAAAAGAACTGTGAAACGATTTCGTCTCATGAATAACTTCTTTGTGGATGAACAAAGAATTAAAAGAAAGAAAGAAAACTTCTCCAAGTTTATTTTGTGATTTCCCATTTTATGATCAGTAAAATTGAAAATATTGAAATGAAACAGAGGACTCTTAGATTTAAATATTAAACAAGAGAAAATAAGGGTAGTAAGAGTCAGTGCGGTTATTAGCACTAAAAATAAATATATTGACAATGATTAAACATACATTACAAAATCGAATTTTTCGTCTGACTTGACTTCCTTTCGAAGTCATCCTCGACGTATAAAATAATAAAATATGGACGCAGCCACGATTTGACCATCGTCTCGCAGCATTGGCCGTAGCAAGCCTTGTAACGAAATTTTCAATACAATACGATTTCACTCGATACTAATTTACGCGGTACTAACGATAATTAATTTGCGAAGACTAGCACACTTTAGAATTCACATGTAGCTCTCAAAGGAAATAACGCGCGTAGGAAATTTCAGGGTCCATCTCTATCGTAATTCATTTTCACGCAGCTGAAAATAAAGGAGATTAATACACACAAAATATATCGAAATACACAAGAAAATAGAAATATGCGACACAATAGAAATATCATAAAGAAATAATACTTTACTAAGCTAAAAATAATTATGAAAATTGGGACGAAAACAAGATAAATCTCAGGAGCAAAATACATAAAGATATGAAATGAGTAATATCTTTCCGCTCTCCAAGCCGGGAATTATTTGGTGCTTTCACTTCGTTAATCTCAATTCAACGTGGCCCCACGTTGAGCGTTAAATTTGCGACCGTAGATGGAAGGCAACTTCGTCGTAAGTTCGCGGCCCCGTGACGAGTTAATTTCAACCGATCCGAGATTCGCGGAATTGCAAACAATTTTTAATAAGTTTCTCTCGCAGATGTTTACGAGAGTGGGCGCCAAGCCCGCACAGACTAAACTCTACAGCTCGTCACTTACAATAGATTTTCGGTTAATACACGAAGTACCGCGGTACGAGAGGCCGGCAGCTCCGAAAATGATAGAGGGGCGGTTCGATACAGGCGATACAAGATTTGAGAGAGCGAACTGGACAGTAATTAACTGCTCAAATTTAACAACGAAAGAGATAACAATTATATTTCCTTGGTATGTTACATGCAGTATTGACTATGGCTCGGTGCGTTTGTTACGAGCCGAAGCCACGTAATGTAGAATATCAAAGTAAATCGACAATCATTCACTTACAAAATACTTTATTCTGAACAGTGTACAAGGCAATGTGGTTTCGCAACGAGAGACGACTTAGAACTATTCTCGATCAAGAGGGATCTTTGCTAAAGATACAAGAGGTGGAGTTTTTAACTACGAATAACCAATAACGCTATGCGTTTTAGTACTGGATAAGCAGATTGGGTAGGACTTTAGAAAACGGATAAGAACGTCCGGATCAGTTTATGGCACACTTGTAGTATATTTTCGAAGCAGGACCGTAATAAAAATTGAAAGTGTCAACAGAGACCAAGATGAGATAAATCGCGAATAAGGGTCTAGGTGGAAATACTTGGGTTTATTAGAATTTATGAGGGTACTAGGGTACTTGAGAAATCGTCCCCGTAAAACAATGAAAAAAAGAAAAGAGAAATTAAAAAAAAAAGGGTTTTAGAATCGGTACGTGACGCGGCACGTAACACGTTACATTACTCGCGGAACTTGGGCTCATGATGCGCTCGGCGATGTACTGTATTCGCTATTACCTCATCGGTCGGGATATTTAACGCGGATGGTGTGCCGGATTTAATATCCAAAGCGAGGAGAACAAAGCGAATTTCGCATAAGTCTCGACTCACGTCTCGCGCAACGCCGCTATTGCCTTGCGGCAATACTTCGCGGCGCGCAAATAGTATCTCCAGCCCGAGAATGATAATCCGGGCGCAATTCTCATCGGCAATATGATAATTCGCCGTCTTCGGATCTTGTTTTCCTGCTCACAGTATTGCAAAAGTAACTTCCGACGCGATAGCGGTGCAATAGATTAGGATTGTTACGATTATCGGCGCGCGATCTTACGCGACTCGCATGGCCAAGGCACACAATTAAACGAGATATTATACGAAACTACAAATTCCGACACATAAACGAAACGACGGGACATAGAAACTTTTACAATTTTAACATAAGTACGATACGCGGTGACTCGGTTGTGGCAGGGTGAACACAATAGCGACGACGAAAATTACTCTACTCTAGCGCGGTCGAGCGCGCGGTGCGACACATCTAACTCGCGAAACACACAAAACTTTCGATACTACGCGATACGGACTTATCACAATTCTTCGCGGGACGATCCTTTATTCATGCACGGCCCATTCGGCTCGCAAAAACTCGGCAGCTGTACAAAGACGGCAACGTTTGTCTCACCGGTGTTCTGCAAATCTGCTCTCCTCGCGGTACTCTCCTTTACGGCATTTTTTCGCCCGGTTGTGCTGGATCCTATGTCCTTTACAATAGTATGTATTACTTTTTTTGTTAATAACTTTTTAACGAATAACGAGCGACGGCTAAAACTTCTTGATAATCACTCAGGGTCATGACTTTGACAACATATGCGAAGGTCATTGGGGATGGGTCCGTTGTTATCAATATTTACCGTAACCGTAATTTTTATCCGATTTGTCAAAATATACGAGTAATGGACGAAATAGATGAAACAACTGGTGAATTTGTATACTTCGGAATTGAAAAATAGCTTGAGAAACATTTTTATTCAAATTTTCATATTTCATCAAATATTTTGTTACAATTTAATATTGATGGAATGACATTGTTTAGATCTAGTTCAAAACGATTTTGGCCTATACTATGCAAAATAATTTATGAGCCAGACATATACAGTCCATTTTGTGTAGCAATTTATAGCAAAAAGAATAAACCCGCAGATTCTTTTAATTTTTTTTTAGAATTTATACATGGCATTAATAAATTACTTTCAAAAGATTTTATAATTGATAGAAAAAAGTTTAAAATAAAAATTAACAGTTTTGTTTGTAACACAGCAGCACAAAAATTTCTAAAATCAATTGTGGGACACGGTAGATATGGTACTTGTGAATGATGCGAAATCTATGGCATTTGTATTGCTGATAAAAAAAAGAATTTAAAAAATGTAACATATCTACATGACGTATGTATATTGTAGGCCTAGAACAGACGAATCATTTCGTAAGCAAAATCATAAGTGATTTTGCTTACGAAATGATTCGTCTGTTCTAGGTGATGATATCACAGGACAGTCATTGTTACTCTTCACTCATCAATAGATATAATAAAAGTTCCCTCTAGAATATACGCATTTAGCTTGATTAAGAATAATGAAAAAATTATATTTAAACTTTTGGTATTTTGGTCATACAGATAAAAAATTGAAGCCATCTTACAGGCGCAAAAGAGAATCGGAGTCTCCATAAGAGCCGATTTTGGCATCTTCCAGGTTTTGCTCATACACGTAAAAATCTATTTCTTGAAGTCAATTGTATTCAATTAAAGTGATTTTAGCTTAAACGGAACGATGATGTTGCCACAGGAGTCTCCATAAGATCGGTTTTCGGCCTAATTTCAATTTCATTTTAAATAATTGGAAATATTTTATTATTGTAAGAATTATCGAAATCAGGTGAATTTAGCTTAAACGGACGTATTTGACACCTGTTATCTTGTAACACAGCAATAAAAAATGCTGTACACTTCAAGCCGATTTCTTAGTAGTGTTGTAATCCCGATTACAACAATTATCATTTAAGCACGCGTTCAAGAGTAACGACCACGCTAACGATTAATACCTCACTATAAAAACGCAACGACCAGCACTGCGGTCGTGAGTCTACCGATATTGCGACAGGCAAAGACGTTGCCAAGTGCGACTGATGTCCATCGAACGCATTTGGCAATATACGGAAGCAGTTCGATCAGCAGGCCAAAGTACAAACTTACGCTAGATAATCGAGTCTACTTAACGCCTCGTAACCAACTAAGAGGCAGAATTCATTTACAAGTCCGAACGTAGAACGTTACGTTGTCGGTGCGCGTATTACGCGGGTGCATAAGTTGTGTGTTTAGATCATGAATTGTTCAGTGAAACAGTTCGACTGGGTGAATCATTCCAACAACCTATCGCTACGATTCTCTCCTGTTACACCCTACCCACGGTGTAACAGTAGGCGACGCTTGTTGTCCCCTCGCGAATCATAGTGGCCGAGCCGCCGTTCGCGCGCGTGACACCGAAAAGATTAAAACCATAAGAGTGTTGGTGGTAAATGTAGGGCTGACTAGTTACAAGGTAACAAGTGTCAAATACATCCGTTTAATCTAAAATCATCTGATTTCGATTCTTACAATAATAAAACGTTTCCGATTATTTAAAATGAAATTGAAGTTAGGCCGAAAACTGGTCTTATGGAGACTCTTATGGTAACACCATCGCTTTGTTTAAGCTAAAATCACTTTAATTGAATATAATTGACCTCAAGAAATAGATTTTTACGTATTTGAACAAAATCTGGAGGGTGCCGAAATCAGCCCTCATGGAGGCTCCTCCTTCGAACACAATCTTTTAACATTAAATTTTAAGTCAATAACATACCATAGTAATATAAAAGACTAAAAGACTGTAATATAAGAATTTACGTAAACATTTTTTTTTAAATAAAAATTATCTTATTATAGATAATTATAATTATGGCCTTTTACTAATATAAATTTTTATTTGTTATTTTTAAAGATTCTGGCTGATCATGAAACCGTTAAAATATGAAACGAAGAGGACGAAGCTACGGATGTCGCTGTACATCGTCATCATTTGGTCTCTAGCCATGTGTATTAGTTTGCCTCCCCTTTTAACAATGGGAAATGAATATGAAGAAGTACAAAACGGGCCCACGCTTTGTGCACTTTACCAGCATTTTATCTATCAAATCTACGCAATTGTAGGAAGCTTCTACATTCCGTTACTCGTCATTATTCCGGTTAGTATATTAAATAAGTATGCTTTTGTTAGACAACAAACTAGTTATATGTACTGTACATGTACATATATATATTATTATATACTAGTTAATAGTGATACATATACAAGTAAATTTATAATATTAATTTATATTAATTTATATTACCATTTATTTTCTTGCACTTTTTAAAATTAGATTTTTGAATATACTCTGCTCTCTCTCTCTCTCTCTCTCTCTCTCTCTTTCTCTCTTTATATATATATATATATATATATATATATATATATATACACAGGATGTCACTTAAATAGCGATCACTAATATCATGTAATATCATTTTTTAATTGTATTCTAAAATTTTAGATCTATGTTCGAAGTATAAATAATTTGGTTAATTTTGTTAAATATGAACAAATTTATGTAAATAGAAACTCACGCGATTTCAACTTGATTTTGTAACGAAACTCATTTACGAACGATAAAATCTTTACGCGGAAATCGATGTTGGTCATTTTGATTATCGATCATGTTATTGTATGTATAAAAAGATATATTTTCATCTTTTTGGTAATTTTATTAATCTGATCTATCACGAATATATATCCATTAACATCAAGTAATCATAGATTATTACGAAGTGCCTGCAATTTCCGATCACAGAAATTAAGCAACGTTGCTGGTGGTCATGGCTTGGATGGGTGAAAACCGTTGGATCTGAATATTAATTTAGAAGGAATTGATTCCTTGGAAACACTGCATACTAAATTTTTTTTTACGTTTTATAATGATTTTATTTTGGTTTCATAAAAATCAAATAGATATCTAACAAATATTATTATTCTGTGCAAATTAAATTAATAATAAACAATGTTGAATTGCAATGTCTTACAGATGTTTCAAAAACATCAATTTCTACGGACATTAAACGGTTCTGCAATATCTTTTCGACGTTGAATCTACATTTTAAAATATTGACATTCGCAATGTTATAATTCAATGGTTCCCAAATATTGATTCAATATATATGTGTGCTGTGAGTTACATGCAAGCATGCATACACATATACACAAAAATACATTTAAAAAATTTTTCTAATTTTCAATACAAACTTGCAACTAAAAACAACGTCAAATTTTACTTCTCAGTGTAATTATCTTCTTTATCTTTTTTGTGAAAGAAAATAAGCGCTTCTCATTTCCATACCACCTTGCGGTAGATAGCACGTCGCATTTTTTTAAAGTAGTATCCTCAGTAGGTCTAGTCTACTCTTATATTTTAATGCAAAAATTGTTTGAAGTGTCTTCCTTGTTCTCGTAAGCAGATTTTGGGTCTTCGAGTAATATCACGCGTCGCACGATGCGCCCTTCTGACGTGATGGTCCCGAAAGTTGCGAGAATTGCTTTTTTTTTATTACCATTACGCATGTCTCGATTAAATTAATTTGCTGTAAATAAATAAATTACCAGTTTGTTATTGTAAACAATAGTCAGGATAAGAGGCCAAAGACGAGCGAAATACAGGTGTTAGTTAATATTCAATATAACTATGTGATTTTTACATACTCTAGCTTTAACGGAACTGTGAGCCGTTACTATCGGATTCAACGCAGCTTTGATTGAAACAGAACTATATCATCACGCTGTTAAACAATTTAATGAGTACTTTTAATTTAAACATTTAATTTGCCGTCCGACAAACGTGGAGATCCGGATTTGATTCCTGGCTGAGAACATGAGGTGATATTTCTTCGCATGAATTCTTTACAGATTCGGGGGGAGTAGATCCCAGACAGCACACGATGTCCATTGGACGTCCAAATTTCGTTTTTATTTAGTACAAACGTCCATGGACTTAATATGAATGTTTCAAAAACGCACATTATTCCACGTATAAAGTATATTTACATTTGAACGTTTTAAAAATATCCATCTTACATTCCAGACAACACAAAGTCTATAATCAATGTATAAGACGTCTTTTAGATATTCTTTAGATAATTCTTGCAGCAGCGTCTAAAAGACATCTAA